AAAAAAAAAAAAAAAAAAAAAAAAAAAAAAAAAAGTAGACAGTCGATAACAACTGTTTACTTAGTCCACCATAAATCCTCTTTAGCTAACGTTGGCCTTCTTTCTCGAACAGTTTCAACTTCGGAATCTTCCTCAAACGCTGTTAATTTTCCACTACTTCTTCCACCAACTGACCGTGCAGTATTTATTGGGCGTATTATGGTAGCGTGTTCAAAACCTTTTTTGCTTCGATTTCGCGCTGACGACACAGTAACTTTGGTTTCGTCTGTTGTTATGGTAAGTTTTGTTGGGGTTTCAAAAGCAAGAGGTAGATGTTTCGGAAATCCAATGCCTTTGTTTTCAGATGTTGAAAATGTTGAAATTAAGTTCCATTTTCGTCCGCCAATACTCGCTGTTGGTGGATGACTTCTGGCCGTTTGACTTTTTTCACGCTTGTGTTCAATTTTACGTTTTATAACTGGTGTAGTTCGACCGGGAGTACTTCGAGCTTTTGATAAGGTGTCTAAACTACTTCTTGAAGAGCTTCGATGGGATAAAATGGAATGAAGATGTGGAGGTTTAACCTTGAACTCTCTTTCCACGGAATGTAACAAGCGTCTGGAGCTAAGCGGTTTATCCATTGTTTTCTTGCACTGTCTTTTAGCGGTTGGTGAGGTTCTTGTTGGGTCAAGGTCATCACTTGACAAAGACTCTATGCTCAGCTGGAGCTTTTCTTGCAATCTTTCACGAAACTTGTTACGTGCTTTTTGCCGAAATTCGTCTGTATCGAGATCTACTTCACCGCAGTTCTCTATTTCGTGAGCGTCTTTTTTTAAGTTACTAGATGTCTGGTTCGTCAGCGCATCCAAGACCTCTTTTTCTTGAGAGTCAGAATCACTATCTTTCTCGTTGCCATTCGAGGTTTTTTTCAGTTTTGGCAACATCAGCTTTTCTGTGATGTCTTCTGCTTTAGGAGCCGTAACACGTTTCAATCGAGTTGTGAAACTATTGGAAAAATTCCCCGATAGTTTTGGCAGGTTTTTTAAATCAAGGCGTGACGTATTTGGGCACGAAATGGCAGTAATTCTATCACCGCTTGAACTGCCAGCCATTCTGTTGTTGCCTTCCGACATGTATCGTAAAAAAGGCTTCCTTAAATCTTGCGCTTTCAAAAAGTGGATTCCCAGCGGTATTTCTTCACCTTCATGCTCTAACTGGAGCTGAGCTAGCGTAATTTCTTCTTCCGGTGATTTTGACTGCAAAAGTTTTTTTGTTTGGTGAACTGATTTTAAAAAACCAGTGAGTCTAATCTTCTGAAATGTCCTTACTTTTTCAGGTATTTTGAGGTTTTCAGGTGTTTCCTGCTTTTCGACTTTTTCACTAGCTTCTTCGCATCTATGATTTGTCTCTTCTTTACTATCCTCCTCAACAACTGACGTGTTTTCACCTAATGTATTGCCCTCCTCAGGGAGGTCGTTCTCTGAAGGCACTGCCTCCGCTGAGTGCTCTTTTGAGAGACCAATTTTATCAGGTGCTTCTTCCGTATCTGTTTGTTTATTTTTTGCGTTGGTACTTAGTGAATGGCATTCTTCAATTATTGCTTCTATTGGAATACTCTCAGCGGTTGGATACACTCCTTTTGGTACTGATATGATCGTAAAGTCGACCTCAGAACTTTCTGAAGTTGCTGTTTCTGCAGAATCCGCCTCGAGAAATTCATGTCTAATTTCTTCTACCTTCTCGACATTCTTGAGGTATTTTGCTTTGCCATAGTGTGACACTGGTATAATTACTGAAAGTGCTTTGATTTTCGACTTTGGAGATTTACAAGGACTGGGGCTTCTCGTATGATGAGATTCAGATTTTGGATTTAGATCGTCTCCTTCGTTTTTCTTTTCAAAGAGGTTCTCGCTGGAGACAGTCAGTTCTTTGTCTGTGGTTATCATTGTTTCAGTTGTTGTAGTTGGTGGTGACCCTGCTAAACCTGCCGATTCTGGTGGTGCTGTTGATTCCGCCGGTAACAGTAATTCTGGTGTTTCTGTTGATGCTGGTGTCGCTGATGATTCTGCTAGCAGTGCTGGTGATAATTCCGACACTGGTGCTGTTAGTGTTGTTGTTGCACTTATAGACGTTGGTGATTGCTCTGACGGCTGTTCTGCATGTTTCACTAACACTGGATTTTCTGATTTGTGTAGGTCGTTACTTTCGTTATCGTTAGCTGGTGCACTTTTCTGCTCTTCATTACTCTCCTCATTTCTGACAGGTACTTGCTGGACAGTGGAATTTTCTGGGAAACTTGGTGTAGCTGTACTTGCAGAATCTTTTATCGAACTATGCCGATGTGCAGAATCCTCTTCTTGTATATTATTCTCTTGTTTTTTCTGTTCGGAATCACTATTTAAGGTTTCTGGTTCCCCTGATTCATCTCCTGACAAACACATGGCTGGATTTTCTGCAAATAGAGTTTGAAGTGAATTTTCATCTTTTTCAGTGATTTTTGTTTCTGTTTTTACTTCTTGCTCTATATCATGAGCGTTTTTTGAATCCTGGGCAGCTTTTTTGGATTTTTTCTTTCGTCTGAAATTGCTACCAATAACAGATATAAGTTTTAGGTTATGGGCGAGGTCAGATACTTTCTTCTTTCCTTCACTGATAGTTTTGTGCTCTATTTTGTGACTGTCACTTCGCAAATCTTCAAGGTGCGAAGTGGAGGCTTCATCATGATTAGCTGCAAAAGATGATGAAGTCATATTATTTTCTTCCTCTTCTTCTTTGCAATGTCCTTCTGCGTCAGCGGTGCTGTGTTCGTGGTTCTTGGATTTTATTCTTTGGATTGCTGCTGATACAGTTACAGGAGATTTGGAAATCTTGAAATCTCTTTCTTTTAAAAGTCGATATAGAGATGATGAACTGCTTCTTCTGGCTGCAATTGAATTTTATCAAATTTTATTTCTGTTTTACGGAATATAGAACTCGAACACCAAAATTTTGAACATATTCAAGAGGTAAGATATTCACCTTTGAAATTATTCAAGTTAGTTGTACTTGATCTAAAATGGCCATCACTTTTATTGTGCATTGTTTATGTGAGGCGAAATTACGGTTTTTTGGCAGAAGAGGAACTAACAGATGAAGGAACATAATTTATCTAGAGGTACTCTCAAATGGTTCAACAGTTACATTACAGAAGCTTACTTTCGCGTTACGACTGCTTTTTCACTCTCAAATCAAAAGGTGGTCAGAAGTATGAGGTTACTTGACAATAAAAATTTTCTGTTTAAACGAAAACGTAATAAGTGATTTGAATTCCTTAGTACAAAGTACTTGTATGTTCTCGTTCATTGGAAGTAACATATAACCATTTTGAATGTTGCTGAGCGAAAGCTGAAGTGCTACTCAGTTTTCCTCTTAATGTTTCGTCTAATGACTACTAGCTTTGGAAAACCTTATAAAATGATTGGAAGATTGATTGATTGGAAGACATGGAAGATTGCTCAGATGATATAAAAAGTTAAATACATTATCTTGTAGTTTCTTGGCTTTATACAAATGTTCTTTTGTGAGTCGAGAATACCTCAATATTAAAACGATGACAGTAATTTTAGGTTAGCTCTCTATGTTTTTCAACTAATTTATAACTTTTTAAATAATTTTTAAGAGGATATGTGTTACCGAAAAAAGGTTAGTCATACTAAAATCTAGTGCTTTGCCTTAAGCAACAATTCTGTAAGCAAACGAGGAAACTGCATTTACTTGCCGATCCTTTAATGTACTGATTGCCTAAGACTTTGAATGCATTCCACATTGTAGGGTTAGAATTAGAGTTCGCGGAGCTTCTGCTGATTGTATCGTCGTTAAGTGGAACATGATGTACTTCTGCTTCAGTGATTTGCTGGAAGAATTTCAGTTATAAGAGCAGTTACTTCACTAACTATTCATTATACTAAATGTGTCCTACAGTACAAATTGCTAAAAGAATTAGTCTGTTTGACGCACTTTAAAAACACTGAAGATTAAAGTAATTTGAACTCGAGAGCACCTTGCCCATGGAAGATGGCATCGAACGCGAATGAGACATACGATCTTTGGTATCATCAGAGAGACTTGGAAGAACAGTCTGGTCCAAAAAATCGCCCAACTTGCTGCTGTTTTTGCTTCTGTTGGTTTCACTGTCGCCTCCATCTGGTAATGTTGCGCTGCTACGACTTCCATCTTCAGTAGGCGATATACGAGAATTTGTGTCCCTCGCAAGTCGAGAAGATTTTTGACTTTTCGTTGATGTTCTTGTAGTTTTTGTACTTAGGCCGCTTGTTGATTGATCACGGTTTGATTCAACCAGGACTGTCTGAGAGCATATGGGGTAAAAAATATTTTTATTGAAGTTCTTGTGCATATGCTTTGCAAAAAAAAAATTTTATTGCTGTTTTATTAAAATTGATGAACCTGATCGTCTGGCTCTTTTCCCTTTCTGCACTTTTTTATTAGGTAATAGAGAAGCCAAATAAGCATCACAAAGGCAATAATCAACAGAATTATTATTGGCAGCCAAAAATAAACGCATAAACCGAGAAACTTGTAACATCTGAAATCTTTGAATCACATAATCGGATGCAAATATTATTAAATAAATATAAACATTTTCCAAATATAAATTTTTTGCTCAAAAATGACCAATTTTGTTGCCAACCAAATTCCAGGAAAGTTTGGGACAACCAAATAAGTAATTCATAGAGAACACTATAAAGGAGGAAAAAACGGGCACATACGTTGAAGCTATCATTAATTTTTGGCATTTCCGACCTGTCCCATTCGATGTGTCATTCATCGTTCCTGGGCACACACATTTGTAACTGATTCCATCAACATGACATGAAGCATGGGGATCACAGTCATTCAAAGTCTTGTCTTTGCAAAGGACGTGTTGCAAATCTAAAAAATTTTCTTTTGTTTTTTCGTTATTGTCTCATTTTTTTTAACGAGGAAAAATTCCGCTTAAGAGCGTCCCAGAAGAAAGATTACCTGTGAAATCTAACTTAATGATGTCTGATGCGTCGGAATGATAGTTTCTGAGAACTTCTTGAAACTGACAGTCTTTACACACCACACTTACAACCGCAGGGTGATCCGATTTAGAAATGCATATAGAATATGGCATTGTTTTAGAAAGCTGTAATCAGATGAGTAGAACTACTTGCAGTAACCACACAATCAATTTTCAATACCCCGGTGTTACTTAATTGTTGTCTAAGAGTTGCCTTTGATGTGCATTACTGTGACATCTTACCGACGTTGCTACCATAGAGTTAAAAGACAAATGTCAAGTCAAAATTTATGTTTATGTTAATTATACTCACCAGCAGTTTGGCTATGTACCTCTTTACAGTAATTTTGTCCTTGTTCTGCAATCTTACTTATGGAATGTTAATGTTGAAAAAAATTGAAACTCACAAAACTTTTTACATGTTATGCAAAGAGAATAAGGAAAGAAAATGAATGAAAGATCAAATTGAGTTTAAAAAATGGCAGAACAAATTTTAGTGAAGTAGTATGTTAAAATGTAAATCTAAAAGGATAAGGAACGTCCAAAAACATGATATTTCCTCGACTCATAACTGTGTGGTATTTATCGTTATTTACAAAAACAATGCTGATGAAAAAGCTTTTTTTTCACTGCCTTATCAACTCTTTCACTCACCTTATCCCCTAATCTGCGTTACTATCAGTATTTCAGCCACTGGCACAAAAATTTAGTAACTTTGAATAACTTTTAGAATAAACGCTATAAATTCAGTAAATACTGATTCTCATGTTACACGAGAATCGTCGTCGTAATAAATACTCAAGTAAATAATCATATAATCTGGGAAAAGATATTCTTAAGACAGTTGTAAAGTTTCAATCATTTTGTTGGCATACCTGATAAATGATTAAAATCGCTTGTTGTTTTTGAGTTAAACCGACACCACCACACAAATCATAAACTGCTGCGCCAAAGAAACCGTTGTCAGCATCTGCAACATTAAGCGTTTTTAAGTTTTGATAAATTTTTTGATTTAGTGAATTTTTCTTACAGTCCAACAAACGATAAAAACGTTTTGAAACCTCTGAAAAAAGAAAATTTGTTTGAAAGCTATGTTTGCATTAGCTAACCAATGTCTTCTCAGCTAAGGACGAAACAACAGAAACAGCAAAAACGTAAGCAAAAGTTAAATAATTCAATCTACTTAGTGAAAAATTTCACCAACCTTGACATATTCCATTGACATCAATCGCCTGTGACAGTTTACACTGGCAGAACGGTTTTTCGACGACTGCTTCAGCTTCGTTCAGAATGCTCCTTTTACACGCTTCACTTCGTTCTCTGTCAAACACCGTAGTCGTAGTGGTTAGGAAGTTATAAGAAGTAGATGATTCCAGCTTTGTTGTGGTGGAAGTATAATGGTCTTGTTGACCAAAGCTGCTTACAGGTTCCATTGTTAGCCTAATCGGCGCTGTCTTTAAATTTCTGTAAACAGTGTTTTTAGCTGTTTACAAATAAAAACAATATGCAAAAAAATTTGTTAATCAACTTTTTACCATATGAATATCTAATTTTATAGATAATATCTGAGTTAAAAAAAAAATTAAATTTTAGTCCACAGGTTCTACACCCAAAAGAAGAGAGATGTTAAAAGAATGAAATTTTTGGGGTTTGTTTCATTAAATTATACCATTACTTTGAAATTTACACCTGTTCAGAAATCGAGAACTACTTAAAATTAGCTTAGAAGCATTATGGAATTTATATAAGCTCTTTCTTTATCGTGTAAAAAATGATGTTTGAGTCGTATTAGACAACATTTCACTCAAAAATTTAATTCTGTATTTATGAAACAACGGAGCATAATGCATAAAGAAAAGGTTTTTTGTTCTATTTGTTCAAGCTTATGTAGAAGAATACAAAAAGTATTTCAAACTGATTCAAAATAACAATAAATTTGCTGTTTACTTCGTTGTATGTGTAGCAGCTGCAGCTGTTACAACCGAGATTTTAGCAGAAACAACTTCGAGGTTTGTCGAGTAAACGAGTTGAGTTTCCGTAACCGGAATAAACACTGGTTCAGTAACTGTAATTGGTTGACTGTGAACAGCTGTAGTTGAACGAGTGGTTTCGACGGCATCCGTAGTATCTGTTTCATAAATAATATTTGATGTGCCAATAAATGGCCACATTGGCGTCGTATGGTGTTCCTCAAAATTTGGTTCGGTGTTCGTCTCAACTGACGGCAAAAGCTGTGGTTGCCATATATTAGTTTTTGGAACATCTGTATCATCGGATATAAAAGCAAACGCTGAGGTATACTCGGAATCTAAAAGTTAACAAAGGAAAAAAGAAACGTGGGATAAACAATACTGAAATACATTAGATTGTGAAAGTTTTTTAAAAATTATAATTTTTTAACAAGTCATCTCAGCACTGCGCAGCAGTAAGTGATAAATTCAAGAAACAACTAATTTTTCATAGTTGTTCACTGAAGATTCACCTTATTGTAAACTATAACTTATCAGCCAAAAGCGTTAAATTGACATTTTATTGCTTTCTAAG